GCACTTGTTACTAGTAGCGATGCACTTGTTCCTAATAGCTTCTTGTTACTACCATAGAGGCCATCCGCCAGGATTTGGAGGTTCTAGTGATTCTAGTGTTTGACGGGGGTCCCCGTCCTTGTGTGCCACAAACTTGCAGCACATGTCTCCTGTCAGATCAACGCCACCGCAGAAGCAGCGTTGGCAGCCCTGAACCTGGATTTTCACTGATCTTCATGATTTGGATCTTCAGTGCTTGTGTGATCACATCTCGCAAAATTGAAAGGCTGGAAGCAGGCTGAAGGTGGGGCCTCGTCGCTCTATTCGTCAGCTTTGAAGCTCGAGGTTTGGAAGCTGACTTCCAAAAATAAGTCTACATGACTTTGACAGTAGAACGGAGCCTGATGTGTATGGTCTGATTTGGCATGATTTTGTTGGTTTCTTCTCCCGATCAAGGTCGACCAAGAGACTGACTGCCCATTGACTGAAACTGGCCGGTGGCAAGCAGAATCATTGAAGAGACAGCTTGCTAGGAGCCAAGGTGCAAAAGAGACTCTTGACTGCCAAAACGATTCAGATCAGAGGAAAGCGTCAGAACAACCCCATGACAAATTGCTCTAAAAAATAGATGAATCACAACCAAGTTGTACTTGTAGTCAGTTTCTCAAGGATGCTTCATATTGCTGCATAGTGTTGCGAAGCTAAATGCCGCTCACTTTGAAGTGCCTTTGACATGCAAATTTCAATGACACCAGTATTCAGTACAGTAGAAAGCCCATGTCTCTCCTTGCTCTTGGTTCGAGGTGATCGAGCAGCAGCGGGGAGCACTACCAGAGGCGTCCCAAACCTGAAAGGGTGAAGAGTGCAGATCGAAAGTCATCATCTGAAGCAACGCTCGAGACACCTTTTGTGACGCAATGGTCCGAAACGAGGAGTTGGGCCGAAACAACTTTAGCAATACTGAGCAAGCGTCATCAAGCGCCTCACGACTCGATAGCATGTTTCTCATGTGGCAGGTCGAGTTGGTCGTCTCGTCACCCTTGCGCCGGGCGGCTGAAACCGCGGAGCTCCTGTTTCCCCAGGAAGAGGCTGGTGGAAATGGGTTGGAGCAACGAAAGATATTATGGCTCAAGCATTCAGGAACCCAGGGGGTACATGAAGGACACATGTCATGTACTTTTTGTGTCTTCCTAATTTTGTGCTGAGACATTTGTATATGACTTGTTTGCTCATGTTGTAAGGCCCCAACCTAGCTCCCACGTACCCCGTCGCCAGCACCCTTTCTCAGGTTCAATTTCTTGAATGTCTTCGTGAGCTTTCCTTCCATCCCAAGACTTTCGGCGCAAAGGCTCGTTTCGGCTGTAGTTTATTGTGTATTGTATATATATATATGTACTAGCAATTTATCCAATCATGCAACTACCCAGGCTCAACAAAGAGCTGCTCTTCACATTTTTATGAGATATGAAAGTGCATTGAACTAGGATTGTAGGTCTCCATGTCGTTGATATATATATATATATATTTATGTCTTGATTGAGGCTGTTCCTTCCATTGCGCAACAAGGCTTTGCAACTTGGCTGGCAGGGACAATGTTTGCCATGACATCTCATTGACCAGCTGAATAGCTTGATGAGTTTGCTCAAGGGTAGAAAGCAACCAGTTGTTGGAAGTGAACTTGTGCAGAACTAGAACTCATCGATGTGCTGTGCAAGCAGTTGTGCAGAGCATCAGTGGTCTTGCGAAAGCGAACACAAACGCATCTCGCGCAAGCTGGAACATTTAAACCGCCAAGCCACATCAGACAGGTAACACACATGACTGCATATATTATATATATACATATGTGTATGTATAAGATTGTGTATTGCACCACGGAAAAGTATCGACCACTTTCACTGCGAAAACGTTTAGGTAGGTGTCACTGAAGAATCCAAGCACCGCATAGGCGCCCTTTGCAGCTGCAAAAACTCGCGGAAGTCCCCGCCAGGGGTTTGTTCCTGTGTAAAATGGCGTCCCGCCCACACAACAAAAAACGTGCTCTCATTATATATTTGTATCTCTCACTTCATTTTAAAGATCTAAATTACATGGACTTGCGACAGCAAATCAGTTCAGACGGCAAGCGTTGTTAAAAGCTACAGTATTGGACCATTTGCATGGATTGGAGGCCATCGATAGTAGGGTGGAGGCCATCGCTCTTAGGTTGGAGGCCATTGCTATTAGGTTGGTACAGCCGTCTCCTAGGAATGGCTTCTCAGCCGGCCGGAGATGACCGTGGTGCCTCAGCAAGATCAGTGACCTGAATCGGCCCTGCTTTTTGGAAGTGCAGCGCTATGCTTGTTTCAGTCAAGACGGCATGGTTTTTGTTGCCAAAAGAAGTATATATATATGTATATATCATTTAGCATTCCCAAACAGTTCAGCAGTTGCCGTTGGTTAGCAAGCCCGCCCACCAAGGTGGTCGTAAGTACCCAGCTGAGAATAGATTCTTTTTCGCTTTCGATACAGAGTGTGGGTGCCTGAAGCATGTAGGGGACTCTCTCTTTGACACTTCAAACCTTGATGAAAATGGAGGTCTCGGGACAACGGTGAGATGTTGCCGAGGCCACAAGTGGGTTCTGCAAGCCTTTCTGGACCCTTCCCAGAACCGCAGATTGCAATTCCCAACCAAGTCCGGAGCCAAGCGTTCAAATTCGTGGCCGCATGATCAATCACTTCGAGAGCCTCCTTCCGTGATTGAATACCGAATGACGGCTCTTTTGTTTCATGGAGCAGGCTGAGCTGGAGCCCGTTTGGGCACTGCGAGCTGCGAGCCTTGGTGCTTGAAACTTCAACAAGAGGTGCTGCTGACAGATTTGGTGGTTGGTAGAAGCGACATGCGGTGGCGAAGAAGGTGGTGAAGCAAATAGTGTAATATGAAGGCCAGAACGCCTGCCTTTTCCACGCCAGGTATCAAGCATGGTGTGCACGCAGAACCTTTGCTGAGCCTCCGGCCAAAAAAGAGCCCTTGCGTTTGCACAAGGCAATGCTTTGGCAGAGATCGCAATGCAAGAAAGCTTGAAAGATGGCTCGACTTTGAGTCTAATCATGCCCCCCAAGGCTAAAGATCCAGATCAAGAACAAGCAGAGGCCTTTCACGAACAGTACCGCTTCCTGGTGGAGACACTGAAGGCTGAAGACACCTGGGCGGTTTGATCGGAGTGTTTTCCAATGTTTTCCAGAATGGCGGCTCAACCGGATTTTCTATTCGAAGAGGGGGCAAAGCTGTGCGCACACGAGCACGCCAATCTTTTGGTCCAAGAAGCACAGAAACAGAGAGCCTAACTGCGGCTGACTGAAACGAGGTAGGTCCTTTGAGCGAAAAGCATCACATGCAGAGCCGCATGGAACTGAACAGATTATCTCTTCATTCTTGCACAATTGACCCAGACTTTGACTTGCTTCTGGATGCCAAGGTTTGACATAGCACACTGGGGGCACTAGGGTCAGTGAACTATAATAGCAACTTCGGAGATTTGGGCTGATGTTGCAACTTCGGAGAGTGGACTATAATGGCAATGGCCTCCAACCTAATAGCAAAAGGAACCTAATAGCAATGGCCTCCAACCTAATAGTAATACACAGCCTGTGGAGGATCCCTGATTTGGGCCTTTTTCTCTATGGCACGACCTGCGGCGCCGCGCGGGCTGCGTGCGCTGCGTGCTTTGGTAGCCCTGGGACTACTGAGCAATGCCTGGCAGCTTTGCTTCACCCTTGGCGTCTACAATCCCCCGAGCCTGGCGGAAGCCCCCGAGATGCTAACTGCATCAACGGGGCGGCTGGCAGTACCATTTCTAGAGGAGGCAGATCCAGTGGCGACTTTTGCCTTAGGAGCCTGGGTCACAGACTTCATTAGGTGTTGTATGATGTTGTGGTTCACCTCAAGGGGTGTGGATGCCTCTTTGAATGCACATCCTTTCTGTGCTGAATTTATGGTTCTACTCCTAATATATGAAGCTTGCGCAAAAAACGAGCACAAACTCACAAGGAACCTTTGTTGGGGCCTTGATGGGTTTCGTCTCCTTGTTCGTGGTCCTGATGCGCTTCGTTCAGAATTTGCAGATGGACAGTCTGGATGGTGCGAAGTGGGGCTCCTTTGGCGGTTTGGTCATGCCCTCCTTCTTCTTTCAAGGCGCTCAGGACATCTTCAGCAATGTGCGCAAGGGAGCTGCTGAGGCTCAGGAGAAGTTTCAAGAAAGTGGGCGTTTCGAAGACATTTACCAACACATTCAGCAATCCCAAAGGGAGCAGGCCGGGCGGCATCCCGGGCGGATGCCGTGGGACGGGGTGAGACAAGGAGGTCCTGAGCATTTGGAGTAGGGCCAGATAAGCCAACGTGGAGGTAATTTGATTAAGTACCACACTGTCTTTGTAAGACTGTGAGATTGTTCATGACTCCAGAAACCCAACTTGACCACAAATCGAACCTCCAATCATACTTGGGAGCCCGGAAAGCCCGCAAACATCTGAGATAGTGCAAATAGACCCTGGTGGGCTGCACAGACTCCAGGGCTCTTGTTGCTCCAAAACTACCAAACAACATATTGGAGTTCCTAGTAGCGGGACTGCTTTCAAAGACCTCTCATCAACGGATCCCGGATATCAGGTGCTTTGTGGCCTGGATGCCTTGAGGGAGCGTTTCCCCCGAAGCAAGACACGTGAGCGGATCTTTGAGCGGCTCAAAGCGTCCATGACACAGAACACCCGCTTCACAGCCTCCATCTATGACCTTGCTTTGAGGAGATGGGATGGGATGATTATGATGCATTGGTAATGTAGCTCAAGAATATCGTAAGAGTCTTAGAGTTGCTGTTCCATAAAACCCGCAGAACACCTGAGTTGGCTTGGAAGACGGGAACACGGCCGTTACCAGCTCAAAGTACATCTTAGCATGCTACTTTGGAGATATTCCCCGGCCGAACTTGCTTGATACAGACGGGATTACAAACAAAACCGAAAGATTATATATATATATATATGCATACGTATATGATTAAATATGATTCAATATACAAGAAGATTGGGATTGAACATGAAGAGCCCGACTACACCTGCAGTTTGCTGCAGGCTTTTAGTGGTTGTGACTCACCCTGAGGCTCCAACCACCTGTCCCTGCTGTGAACGACATTTACAGTGAGCTTTGGCTCCTGGATGAGAATCGTTGCACCGCCAGCGGTCGGCAGCCAGGCCAGGGGAAGAGGCCCTGGGTCAACGGCAACGCACAGATCCTCATCGATACACAGGTGCCAGCATCACGCCTCACCGACGCCAGTATGGCTCAAAGAGCCCTTTTTGCTTGGGTAGCGCCGGAGGTCCTTGCGAAGCCTACCCTGTTGTACCTGGTGAAGCTCTTTGATGTCTTCCAGCACCTTGACCATCAAACATCCTTCAGCCAAGCTGAAGAGGATGCAATTGATGACTTCATCAAGATCGTTTCTCGTACAGCTGTGATGCGCCGAGCCTTCAGATATGCTGTGGATGTCCTTGGCCTGGATTTGGAGGAGTCTGAAGGTTTCCAGGACAGGTCTCACCGTCAGTCAACCGTCAATTTCAGGCGTGCAGGTGTGGAAGAGTACTTTGTACTCCTGCCAGAGTTCGTTGATCGACTCCGGGCTCACGACCTGCGAGTGCCGGAAAAGTTAAAGGTAAGATGGATTAATGTGGTAAGACTCCGACCTATTTGGTAGGCAGGTGTTGGACCGTTTTGTTCCTCCTTTGCAATCCCCACATGGACCGCTGCAAGGATCGCAGCTGGCAACGGGAAATCCGTCGGATTTGGTTCACGCGTGGAGCATCACCCTGTGCCTTCGAGCATATCTTTGTGGGGAATCTCTCGGAGGACTCAGATGGGCATCCAGTGGCTGGAGGCCTTAGTGAGGGGAGAGAAGATGTCACCACAAATCTCACATGGGGAGAGACAGACACATGCAATGTCAGCATCCGAAACTCATCAAATTGGACCCCATGAAAGACCGCTTTCCCTTGCGTGCTTTCAGCGTTTTCAGTGGTGTAAACCGCAAGTCAATATACAGTACAGTATTATGTCATGCTAGTATAGTACATGATCATGATAATCTGAAGATCTGCCCGACACAGAGAGACTATTTGTTTTTATTGTTTGTTGATGCCCTTTGCAAGTTCTAAAGAATGGTTACGCCCAATGCTAACTAATCAGACGCGCGTATCGTCCTGCCAGAAGAAGGGTGAACCAGCTGTGTTCAGCAATTATCTTCCCTTAGCATCGGATAACTACTTTGACAGTTCAGAGAGGTCTTTCGCTTTAGCGCAGGCTTACACTGCTGGCTGAAGTTTTACTTGGAAGAGCTACGAGGCACTGCGAAGTACTTGGGCTACTTCTACAATCGCAATCCAAAACAGGCCTTAGCAGATCACCGGTACATTTCCGGAAAGTTCACCTGGATGCATGCAGGCCGCAACCTTGTAAAGGAAGGCCAGATGTGCAGAAAGTCATAGTCATACCATTCAGAGAGTTTTAACGCATTAAGCACGCGTGGTTGACTGAATGCTATTATGGTAAAAGCTTGTGCTGTTCCTTTTTGCCAGTTGAACGGGGCCAGAAGAGGTTGTTCCTGCTCACAGGAGGTGGATTCTTCGTAGGTGTGTCTCCTGAATGGCTGCTGGCGAATGGTACCTTAGCTTACTTGGAGACCAGAGATCCTGGGAAGGCAGAGTCCTACGGCTGGCAGCGATGGCTCGGGGCTCGAGACAGAGGCTACACGAAAGATGTGGTGTATGAAGGCTTTCGCTACCGCAAGGCGTTGCAGTTCGGTCTTGCAAAAGTTGGAAAAGAGTTGGCCAAGTGGCTTTCTTTGTTTCTTTTGAATTCTATTGCTTTTCTTAAGTCGGTATTTGTTTAGCCTTTTTTGTTTAAAGCTTAGATTCTGTTAATTTGTCTTTATATAGACATGGTTCTTTTTTGAAGTTAGACTTTCTTTCCCGTTTCTTAGACCTTTCCTTGGCTGCAAAAGTTACAAAGAGTAACCCTTCTACCCTATTGCTCAAAGTCATGTCATGCTCCTTTCAGGTGGTTTGCCACAGTGGCCACTCCCTGGTCACCGTTTTTTCATCCTTTTTGGGAGTGTTTGAAGACGACTCGGACGCTCATTTGGATCGGGTCCTCCCCGAGAACGAGCTGGCACAGGCGAGAAATGAAACATCCGCCATGTTCGAAGTGTCCGAGTAGATTTATTGGAACATGGACACGGCCAGCAGCATCCGATTTTCCCTTCATCATCATTCAATATCCTGAGGGTGTCATTGAGTCTACAACTGTTAACTGCAGTATCACTTATTCGGCATTTGTCAACTATGTCAAGGACTTTAACAAATCGTTTGTATTCGTTTTCCGCCAGCCAGTTCGCTGCGCCAATGAGGAGCTGCCGAAGGTCCTGGTCTCCGAGGGCTTGGCGCACGCGGAGACCTCGGAGCTGTGCGCCGCCAGCGTGCGCTTCTGCGCGCAGCGGCACTGCCACAGCTTGGGGGAAGCGTTGCAGGAGATCCACGACGTCTTCGGCTTCTCCTTGGAGGCCACCATGCAGGACATTTAGTCAGAGAAAGGAGAAAAAGAGACGTATGCAATGGGGAGAACTGTTTCGAATAATTGAATCTGAATTTTGCTCTATCCAGTCTTTTGACTGGGGACCCTTGAAGTTCCAAAAAATTACTTCGATGTTGTTTCCCTACATCTCTCAGGAGGCCGACGCCGATCCAGCGCTGCAAGAGGTGGTGCAGGATGCAGCGGATGTGTTGGAGCGCTTGGAAGAAGACACGCTGAACAGCCACAGTTTGCCCGTGCTGATTGATCATTTGAAGCAACAAGGTCGCTCTGGAGCACGCTTGCACCGACCCTTGAGGTGCGACCGGTGCTCCGAAACAACAGGTGCTCCCTTGAGGAAGATGCTTTTTGAACTGTTGAAACACCAAACAACATGGCTTCAAAGGGGGAAGACACCAAAACAATCCGAGACGCATCATGACATGGGTTGTGAAAACTAATTTACTGAGTTCTAGAATTAGCCAATGGAGTTTAATCCATATCTCGGTGCATGAACCATGTTCGACTTCATTCGGTGTGTTCTGGATTGGTTGTCAGGTTGCTGCTCACCGGACACCCCAACGGTGCCCGTGTGGTGGATCTCTTGCGGCTCTTGGAGTTGGCGGAGGCCGAGTTGACCACGGAGACGGGTTTCAGCCTCAGGGAGCGCTTGACCATCGCACGGCAGCTCTTCGCTGAAAAAAAGAACGGATATGACGGGGGGAGAGAGAGGGTTGGAACGGACGAGGAAGGGATAAACCTACAAAAAGTGAGAATAGAATGGAGTGTGTCAAGTATGTGGGATCGTTGATCTCTGTAGGAGTTGAGGACGGAGCTGCTTCTGGTGTTTTTACTTCTGGGCATTGTTTGGGGTTCCACAATTGAATGGCACTTTGTTTCTCATTCCCTAGATGACAGTGTAGAGATGCTGTGAATGTGAAGAAACACTAATTGTGATCATCCCACCAGGGCAATGATATAGTAATAGCAGGCCACCCTGTTGGATGTATTGATCAACCTAAAGCTCGTTCTTGCGGGAGTAATAGTGGCGGATGTTCTTGGCCGCGTTGGAATGCTTTTGGGGCTGCAGCCACGGGGCTTAGTTATGAAACTCCATGATACTGTGATACTGTATTGAACTTGGCCTGGGGGTTCTGGGGTTTCCTTTTCTTGCAGACAAATCCACACTATAGCTGCGGTCGCCCGAGTGGTGGATTTGCTTTCAATGTTTGACTGTAGGCAGAAATGAAAGCAGCCTGCAACTGATCTACACAAGGGGTCGTTTACATAATGGACTTTGAAGGTGTTTGAATGTGGAAGACCCCTGAATCAGTTCTCACTTTGTCTAAAGAACACTTGTGCAGGCTGATGTGCGCACACTCTTCCGATGGTTGGAAGATTACGTGGATTTGCCACAAGACTTTCAGAGAAGCAGGAGCACTCTGAGAAGCTCTAAGTTTGATCCAAAGGATTTGCCTGCAAGGTGGATGTGACATGATGTGACTTGGACAATCACACCCAGAAACAGCCGCAGGTTTTCGTGAGGCAGACACCCTCCTTTTGAGCCGCTCCACCAAGTCTCGAACCGTTTGTGTGCAGGACTTGGGAGAACTGTTTGTACGATCTGGAGATGGACTTGCCAGTGCCCAAAGATGGACCACATGGAGCGTGGAAGACCCGGTTATGACCTTTCTGAGGAAAGGATTGTCAGCGGTTAATGCCGGGAAAGACTTGCCAAGCCCAGAGCTCAGACCAATCAAGCATGAACTTCAGGCTGTATATCAGACCTCCAGCATAGGTGGACAATCCGCAGAAAAGGATGGGAGTCTTTGGCTGATTCCGCACATTATGTTGTTGGGATCTACTTAAAAGCTACAAAAGTAGGATATTGATGGCACCACCCGGATCAAGAGAAAATGGCACAACGTCGTACATTGTGTGTCTTTCTCATTTTCAGCTGCAGGGTCTGCAGGGCATCTTCAACCGTAGCAGCAGATAGCAGTGGATTGCAACAAACGTTCATGATTCTTTCTTCCTGTTCTTTTTTCTTTGTTTCTTATAGCGTTGGCCTCCAACCTAGAAGCAATGGCCTCCAGCCTACTAGCGATGGCCTTCTTGTCCCCTGGTGTCGTGAACGTTTTGTGAGGCGTGGAACCGGTTGCGCACTTGATGAACTTTCGTGATGCGGTGCGCCTGGAGTTGGGTTTGACCAATAAAAGCTAGGGCAATCGTATTACAGTATTCAGATGTCCACTTCAGTATAAAGAATTCCAGCATATTTCAGCATGCAGCATTTTGCAGTTGGCAGTTGCATGGCCACATACCAGCCAGATTATGTCTCTTATGCTGCAAAGCCTCCTCTTCAAGAAGGCAGCTCACACGTGCTCTTGACCGTCCAAGAATCCGTCTTGGGAGTACTCTTTTGATGAGATAAAAGAGATATTGTGTCTCCGATTCTTGGATTGAATAAGGGCAGGTCAATATCTTCGCCTTGCAAAGAATCAGTAGACATGGTTTCTCGATTTGAGAGGACACTGAAGCTTGCCATGTTGGGCACTCATGCCCTGAGCGTATGGGAGGCTGTGCTGGACTGGGACCTCAAGAGTGAACGAGCTTATGCAGATGGACCAATGGCCCCTTGGCCATCAACTTGGTCGCACCACATTGGTTTGTGTGGTTGGTTCTCTGAAAGTGAACTTGAGCATTGCCACGACTTGCCATGACTTGCCTACAATTTACAGCAGGTGTTCACACCTGTGCAAAGTTGACACCCCCAACACGATCTTAGTCAAACATGAAAAGGGATGCCATGTTGCAAGCTTAGCACCTTGTTCCGAAAAGCACATCTTAGGCTGTGGCTGTGAATATAACTTGATTTGATTATATACTGGTAAAGATAGCCTTGCTTCTGCCTGGGGCATCCTTGCCAGGTCGCAATGTCTGAGCTTGCAGTGAACATTTTTTCCAAGACCGAAAGCACCTACCTCAGTTTCTTCGGTTTCGTGATTTTTCGACTCCAATTGTCTTCTGCCGTTTCAAAGGTGCTAACCCTTTCAAACCAATATCAAGGTGCACATTTCGAGAGTGACATGGAACTTATCCAGAAGGGAACGTTTTTCTTCCGTCAAGTTTCTCTTGGTGGTTTAAAATAGTTGAAATGCCTCTTGTCCTTCGCCTTTTTGGGCGTTTGTAAATTGGAGAGAAACACACATCTGCTATGAAATGGAGGACAACTGATTTCATCTTTGAGGTCTACCCTACAAGTTCCGGCCTCCAGCGCTGCCGACGATCCGTGGGCATCAGACTCAGACGACAGATGACTTGCTTCTTGCCAGAGTCCGTGTTCAGAACTCCTATGCGAGGCCTGGGCCCTTCACCAAGAAGGAAGACAAAGGCCTGGGAGTCGAGCTGTCAAGCCCAGCCAAGACTTCAACGCCTGTTCAAAACCATTTTGCAAAGATCTTGCCACATGCTAAGATCCACACATGCAAAATCACCCTTCGCTGAGCCAACTTCAGGGCGCGGCACTACCGGTGTCACTTCACTTCAGTGCCATTTGCTTGCGGTGCTCAGAGAGATGCAGTTCATGGGCAAAGGGCTGAGGAACATGGACTTCGCAGAGAAGGCGTGAAGATTGACGTTTGGAGATCCTAACCTGTGACCTCAGACCAAATAGAAAGCAATCAAAAACAGCCCGAAACTCCCTTATTGGAAACTGTCCCGTGGGCGGCCGCGCCCATGCTGGGATTTTTTGGATGGGCGCACGAGTTTCTTGCCAGGTTCATGTGTCCGGCGATGAAACCGGCCAGAACCCTGCGTCGGGTCCTCTGGTGAGACGGAACGGTTTTACCTGCTTTCCGCCTCTCCTGGCAGTTCTTTGTTTGGTCGTTTGCAGGGCTGAAGAGCTGGCACACGAAATGGCCAAGTGGTGTGAGCCTTGGTGAGCCTTGGAAGGGCCTGTATAAGGGAAAGAGATTTGATTTGAGATCAATGTCCAAGGAAAAATGCGATCTTGTGAAGAGACAGTGGAAGATGAGGAAGCATTGTAAAATACACTGCGTGCCGTTGATGCATGAATGATCCAGTGACCCGGGACAAAGCATCCACGGTGCAGAGTATCATATCTTATCTCCATATCTCCATAGGAAGTCTCTGGTAGACTTCAGGATTTTTGCCAAAGTGTTATAGACGGACCCTAAATTTTTGGAAAGGCCGGTTTTGCAATAGGCTGCTTTGGGTAGCTTGCTACATTGGTGTGGTCCTTTGTATGCTCAGGTCTGAACGTTGCACTCAGCTCGAGCGGGAGCTCACGAGCAACAAGGTGGGGTGGAGCCAAGACGCCGAGTCGACGTGAGTCCGACGTGAGTCGACCTGAGTCTGCACCATGTGAGACAATCACATCCATCACTCCATGCGACTCCATGACTCACATCATTTCAAACAAGTTGTTTCTCCTGCTGTTCAGCCTTGTCACTTGACCGCCCATCACAGAATGCTCCAGTGAAAAGCATTGGACATGCAGGGTGAACGGGAGAACCAGATGGAGAGCAAAGTGGAAGAGCTGGAGAAGTCCGTGGCCCTGAAGGCCAATGGGACAGCCATGAAGATCTTTACACAAAAATGCCAACGGGCCCATGATCTTCTGACGTGGGAATGCAAGCCCTTCGTTCGGACCTCTCAGGACCCTTCTAGGACCTCTCATTTTCGCATCTGTGCAATTGTCCGTTGGGAGAACATATATGAAGCACCAAGAGTGGACTCCAGGTGATGGTATGTCGTGGCGGTGTGGCTCAATCAAGACACAATATAAACAAGGGGTTGTCACCGAAGTCACAAGCAAAATGTCAAGAAAGCACTGTATTGCGAGACACAGGCTGCAAGCTGTCCATTTCTCACCCAACCGGCCCGGCAAATCCAACCAGATCACACCGTTGTGAAACCTATGACAACGTTCTGAAACTGATGATAGTATTGTGATACCGATGACAGATGACATGAAAGTCTTGTGATTTTCGGGGTTGCCCCCTCCTATTGACCCAAGATGCAGGAGACGGCAAATAAGAAGCTGGTGACCAGCATTCACAAATTAGAGGGCGAGGTGCAAAGCTTGAGGCACGTGTGAAGGGTGCCGCTCAAGTTGTGGATATTTCAATCACACAGGATTGGACGGATATATAATAGAATATAAAGACCACAAAGGAAGATTTATCTACACCAGACAATTCACAGCAAGGTGTGCTGATTTGATGCATTGACTGCTGTTTTCTTCCCCAGGTACGAGTTCGTGGCTTTGCAGCGCGAGAGATCTGAGGTGACTGAGCAGATCCGCACTTAGCGGTGTGATCTGCACTGGACAGGAGGTTTTCTGTCGAAAGCGACACAGTGAACCATGGCTCAGGAACAACCGGATTGCGAAGGAGAGCCTGCCAGTGTACGGCCCTTACACACACACACACACTCTCTCTCTCTCTCTCTCTCTCTTTCTGCTTCTGCTTGGTACTTGACCCCCAAACCCTGTTATATAGATGATGGCCGATCGTTGCTTAATTTTGGCCATAAAAAGAATTCGGAGCATCTCTCAGGGGAAGCCACTTGTCGATTCCCCGAGGATCGAAAAGATGCGAACCCTGGTGGACCGCTCCAAGGAGGCCACGGAGCGGCTGACGAAGGACTCGGCCATTTGGTCCCGGAGCTTCCGGCGCCAGGCACCAGCTTCGGATGCAATGTGCGTTCAGGTTTGGTCAGGTATTTGGAGAGGTGATGAAATGAAGGATATAGTGATGATAAGATAATATATTATATATATAATATACATATATATATATATATGGGTGTCAGGGAGTTCAGCAGTTTCTATAGATGGCACGTGATAACACTTCTTTTCGATTCGACTTCAGCTGTAGGATCCAAAGGTCTCAAGTTGACAGATCTTGGCCTGGTGGGCTTGTGTTGGAGGTGCAAGAGACAGAACGAATCCTGGCCGAGAAAGACGACATCTGCAAGGAGCTTGAAAGGGCAAAGAGGCGGCACCAGATGAGTTCCTTCAACGAAACACAGACATTCAGCCGATTCAGCCACCAGTTTTTGTGCACTGATTTCCTCAGTTTTGGAGTGGATTTTATTATCTGACTATGGGACATGGCTCTTTTGGATGTATCAGATGTGCATGCCCTACACAAGTTTGTCCACTTCATTTGTTGCACAATTGGAAGTGCAAGGACATGTGTGACCCCGTTGCGTTATGTTGCGTTAGTTGAAATGGTTTGGGATTCTTGCTCGAGCAGATTCGGTGGATAAACCGTTCGTAACAGTTGGATTGAAGACCGTTGCACAAAAGTCATACAGTAGGACCAGGTTAGAGCTCAAGTTTCTGATTGACCCTGCAATTATGGGTTGCGAATCAACATCCATCAAGTTAAGTTTCTCGCATGCGACATTAGAAACAAACTATTATTAGATACTAGACACTGCATTTTGATGCACATGCCCAACGCCTTGTCCAGCTCGAGCAATGCGTGAACACATTGCGGAGTCACCTGCGCAAGCGCCAGAGCCACGCCCCGTGCCTCGATTTGGAGCAGAAGGGACAAATGTCCCTTATCATAGCTTCCCCGTGTATGTCCTTATTGGACTATGTTCACAGCTTTCCCCCCGCCTGCTTTTCGTAGCATTTTGACAGACAAGTATCGGCGTGGGCCCGATGAATGCTCAACTGACAGGAACCTCTTATTCCCTCATTGAATAGTAAGTTCAAACTTCAAACTACGGCATGGTCGGACAGAACATGTGGAGACCACAACCGCGGAGATGCCCAATATTTGTTCAATTCCTTTGAGAGTGTTTGACCAAGTTATCTGAAGGTCTTGGGTTTGGCTCTGGTCTTTGGAGCCCTCGCCATTTGGATGGCCATCTTTAGTGTGCGCACCCCAGACCCGGTGGCCGTCGGCAGAAACGCGAGCTGTCGAAGGGCTTGCGAGGTTGGTTTGGTCACTTAGCTGCGGAGGTCATACAAGGAAGCTACTAGTAACATTAGTAACAAAGGGCATCGCTACTAGTAACAAGTACATCGCTTTTAGTAGCTAGAAGCTACTAGTAGAAATGCCCTTGCTCCTAGTACCGATGCCCTTTGTTACTAGTAGCTTCTAATTCAGGATCCCGCTCCTGCTGCCTTCTAGAGGTCACATTCGCACGTCGTAGACGGCACCGAGGTGGCAATGAAGGATGACATCACTTCGCAGGTTCCCTTAGCCATTTTGCCAGTCTTGGCGGTTTACAGGCAGGCTGCCTTGTTAAATGTTACGGTCAAAACCGTGTAACCTGATTCGGCATTTCTGGAGAGGATGTGGCTTCCCTGCCAGGTATTGGAGCTGGTTTTCCATGGAGCTCTTCAAAAATGCTTAGAAAAGCAGACATGAATTTATTGAAGTGATTGACCTCGAGGGCTACGATTGGCCGCGTGCACAACTGGACCTGCAAAAGGATTTGGCGTACTGGCAGCGATTCACAGATCTTGTTGAAAAAGCCAAGACACACACGCCGCTGCTGAAGCTTCGTGGAGCTGCAGTTGACAGGATTTTTTGCAGGCACAATTTCATCAAACTGGCCTGTTCCACTTCAAAGAGCAGCTGGGTGTTCGGATTCGATGTCGATCCTTTGAGATTGGACCGTCGGTGTGCCCGGTGTGCGGATCCAGCGGTTTGACGCGCATAGAAAAGAAGGCGATCTGCATGGTGAGGGTATCGATTGCCTCGCTGGCGGGTCAGAAACTTCTGTAGAGGAGTACAGACTTCGATCCTTTTGAACACCTAAGGGTTTGTGACTTTTGAAATCAGATCGCCCCAGGCCCCCTAGACCTTACTATCGGACTGTGAAAAGAGCAGAAGAGTAGTGGTCGAGACATCGCGCCATGCCATTTGGCGCTTCAGACAGGCAGCTACAGACGGAGAAGGAGAAGAATGACAGCAAAGAGGTGGAGCTCCAAAAGAAAGAAACCTTGTCCGTCTGGCGAGTTTGAACTTGTTGGGTGTCAGGAGGTCGGTGATTCCCCCCTGATGCCAGCATAGTCATGGTTTGATTTTCCTTGTTTATTGTTCTAATCTTCGAACGCCACTGTTTTTTGATACATGTGCACATGAGATGTATATAATATCTATAGCAGAATGTTGAGCATACGGTTCTTGCTGTTCAGAGTGATCAGCAGGGTGTTGCTTGTTTTTCTTGGGACTTTGCGTGCACCTTGGCAGGTACCTGCGGACAATGGCTGCAAGGAAGTCAATCCAGGCTCCAAGATCATCCAACATGGATTTTTCTGGGTGGCCCCACACAAGAGTTTGACCACCTTGTGCTGCTAGGTTTGCTAATAGGCCAATATAGGTATAATGAAGTATGGATAAGTATGGTATTTATTCATATTTATATTGTAATTAACATCAATCAATCATGACTATAAGTTGTAAGGCAAGTCACTTTCCATGAACCACCCATTTCAGTCCGTTTCAATATTGTGCCATGCCAGCGCGTGCTTCGCCAGGATAGCTTCAATGAACAGCGGGAGCAAATCGCGGAGGTTGGGTCATTAGAACTTGGAAGAACACGACATTGGCTGAGTCGCAGAGGGATGGGTCCAGCAACGGAATGTTCAAAATGTGCTCCAAATGGTGGAGAGGCATAACAAATGGGTTCTCAACATTTCACGGGTAAAGCCATGGAAAGGGAGTTTCATTTTGATGATATACTAGTAACGTCCTTGCTACTAGTAGTAATGCCCTTGCTACTAGTAGTGTAAACATAACATATCGCAAGTATAATCTGTTCGTTTTGTTTCAGGTGGAGCAGTCCATGGAACAAATGGAGTTGGATCGTCAAGAGCTCCTCAAGGTCATCCAGGCGTGGGCAAGGTTGACAACGGCATGGTCAACCGACCCACGCATTTGTTGGATTGGATGATGCTTTAACCAAACACTGCAGTGAATTCTCGCTAGTGAAGTCCCATGAGCAGTGAGTCAGTGAGGTGATTGTTCACCAAAACGAATGACACTGAGATGGATCCACAGATACTGGACCACAGGCAATTGTGGATGGAACGACTAGCGATGGCTTCCAACCTAGAAGCCAGGGCAAGGATGGGCACATCCGGGAGCTTGAAGAAGACCTGCGACGTGTGAGGATCCCAGGACACCCCGACAACGATCAGGTGAATGGAAGGACGATATCCGACGACCATCGCGGTTTATCCATAGAGTGGCGCGATTGAATATTGTCCAGAGTGTCAGGGGTCTTTCTGTTACGTCTTTCTCCTTCAAATCATCGTAGGGCCTGGCACCTGAGCATGAACATCAAAATAGAGGGGGTTTCATTAATTAAGTATATTAAGTCGCCAATGCATACAAACAGGTACTATCTTTTAAGACCGCAAGAGGCAGATGCAGATGTTTCTCTTCGATCACCAAGTTGACACCACGAACCTCCCTGCCCAGTTCAAGGGTGTGTTCCAAGTGCGGAGCTTTCAAGGCCAAAAAACGCATCGCAGAGATGGAGCAGCAGCGTGACATGGCGCTGCAGGACTCAACTCCGCTAGGCAAGGTCTTCAACTTCCAACTAAGAATTGATGAAATGAGCTGAGTCAGTCGTGCTTCATGTGGGTTTTTGAAGTTTTGATCCTCTTGCTACATTTATGTGTGCCTTTAATGGGTGCGTATATTTCATCCGGGACCGGTCGCTGCCGGGGCGGTTCGGTCTCCCTATTTGAGCTGGACATCCGTTCGGTCGACCGATTCGCCCGGAGTTTGCCTTGTTGGCCTCACAGGAGTATACACGATTGACAGGGAAGATTCTGGACTTGTCAAGCTTCAAAGTGGTGGGAGTGCCAAGGAAGAAGTTGTGGCCTGTGATGTGAAACATGGTGCAACTGACTAACTGACGAGTGTAATGTGTTTCACAGAACTTGTGCACTGCCAACTTGAACGTAAGCTGCATTGTGAAGAACTTTGGTTCCAGGTCCCTACGCTTCTGTGATTGCAGTGGACGGTGTGTTTGCACTTGCCAGTGAAGTAGAGTCCAAACAAAGCAAGAGGCAATGACTGAATTATGCATTGATATGTTGTTGGTCGGCACAAGCACAGACACACCTGTGGAGTGATTGTTTGGACATAGTTTGAACACTCACATAGAGGTCTGTACATAATAGAGCAGGCTGCAAAAACTGTAGCTGCTTCAACAACTCATGTCGGCAATGTCCGCCCAGGAAGAATAGGAAGGTGTGTCATTTTGTGGCTCCATTGTGTTTTTTTGTTGTTTCAGCATTGTCTATGGCCACTCATCAAACGCGTTCTCCAACCACCCCGGGAGATGTTTGCTTTGCCCAGAGAGCATGGATCAAGGCTGGCAACAAAATTGTATGAAACTATGAAACGCAAGACTTATACTTGTCAAGTTACATCCCGGGAATGAACGAGATGACTCGGTCAATGACCTCTGCAACTAAAAACAGTTTGTGATGGACAGAGATCATGGCATGACTGAAACAACCTGGAAGGGCAGATCCTCCCATCCTCCCCAAAGTGGCCAAGGAGGTACGCAGAGAGTGGCACAGAGAGTAATTACTGAGTGAGTAATTAGAGGATCCCGGCCTTGTAGGCCACAGGCCCCAGAAATGGGAACCATAAGCAGTCGGCCAAATCTGTGGCACTAAGTGGGTTTCTTCAGTTTCCCAGCGTTGCTTGCACATGGCAAACCACATCGAGCGGCTGGAACGAGAGGCCAGGGAGATCCTTCTGAAGAAAGATGAGGAAAGTTGATCCCAACAACTTCCAACATGTTTTTCTTGGAAAGCTACTAGGGGCTCCTAGCATCGCTACTAGGAGCAAGGATGCTACTCGGGGCTCCTGGCCGTACTACTAGGAGCAAGGACGCTTCTGGGGGCTCCTAGCATCGCTACTAGGAGCAAGGACGCTACTAGGGGCTCCTGGCCGTACTACTAGGAGCAAGGACGCTACTAGGGGCTCCTGGCCGTACTACTAGGAGCAAGGACGCTACTAGGGGCTCCTGGCCTTACTACTAGGAGCAAGGACGCTACTAGGGGCTCCTGGCCTTACTACTAGGAGCAAGGACGCTACTAGTAACAAGTTGTATTTTGTGGACACTCCATACGTCACGCCTCCACTCGTCTCACATCATGAGCCGTACCTCGGACACATCTGGTCTCGTCCTCGTCTCGTGCGTGCGGTCCGCGACACACGTCCGCGGCGACCGCAGACCGGCTGCGGAGTACGGTGTCTCAGGTGAAGATCAAGTTCCGCACCTCAACGAATTTGATCTTGCGGAAAGGCACCCTCTTCTACGATGCAGAACGAGAGACTGTGGAGGCTGGTGAAAGCCACTGGCCACAGGGTGGCCTGAAAAACCGTTGACTTCTCAGACGATCTTCTGCATAGATTGAACCTGAAACATTTCGCGTCACTGAAGGCCACAAAGTTCTGGGATGATTTAGTTGTTGAAGTTGAGATCAGGCTGAAGGACTTCCCAGAGAGCAACGTCTACGGAGTATAAGAATCCATACGAAGTCAACGAGTGTAACGGGTGTATGCTGGAACCAGATCCAGTTGAGATTCTCTGAAAGAATTGCAGATAATCTAGCAGTTGTTGTTTTTTTCAATTACAAGTGTTGTAGATTGACATCCAGCCTGCTTGGCAGGTTGAGAGCAAGGATCAACAAGAGCCAGTAGCTGAGAATACTTGGTGGACACATTAAAGCATTTTGGCACAAGGTCGGATCAGCTTTGTGCCTTTTTGAGCCCGGCTGAGCAAAATCTCAGCTTTGCAGACATCAGCTTGGCTGAGGGATATAATGAAGATCAAACTGACCGACTTGAGCATGGTGAAGGCGACCCCGTGATTCACGAGTGATAGCTCCGGATAGCTCGATAGCTTCAAGGGCATGAATGACCAGGGTCCAAAGTCTCTACAGGCAGATACTGTACCTTAATGACTTGAGCTTTATTCCCATGATAATATATCCTACCTGGTCCTAACATGTCCTAACTCAAGCTTCAACGATGCGACAAGTCATGAGTCTTGAAGACCCCCCCGCTCTCTCTCTCTCTCTCTCCCCGCACGTGCCAAGACTTTATTGGCTTTAATATGCTTTAGTCATTGAGTTTTTTTTGTGTTATGTATCTTTATCTTAATGGCTCCAACTTCCGAACACAATGCCTCCAAACTCCCAATGGAGACGCCCTTCTTGCATACTTCCTTTGCGAAAAAGGATCAGATATGATATATATATATATGTATACTGTATATGTATTCTTCTGGAGCAATGGCCTCTCCTTCACTATGGCGTCCTTCTGCACTAGCCATGTCCCGCAAGCGGAACGTGACGAGCACAGCCCTACGTTCCGCCCCATGCGGAAACAACTCACAGATGCCAATCACCGTCCGCCGAAAACGTGCGTTTGGTCGTAGGGGAGTGGTGCGTAGGGGTCGACGTCTCTGGAGCATTCATGTCGACCTCTTCACGGTTTCCGAACATTTGCAGCATTTGCAGCATTTTGTCGTCGGGTGCTTTTCAGCTGATTCTTGTCATTTCAGGGAAAGTTGGGGTAGTGACTGACTTGTCCAACCTCAGCCGTATTCAATGTATTCCACAAAGCCGACAGATTAATTTACAGTATCGATTTCACATGCTCAAGTTGTAATGTACTAGTTATTTGGATATTGACGGCTTTAGCACTTAGACTCATGGCATTTTTGGACTGGATTCCGAAAAATTGTGTGACAAGGCGATGGACTACATCGAAGACACCAAGGTGAACTTTGCCGCTGGGACGAGAGAGATCCCATCTCAGAGTTGGGCACAAAGCTTCGCAGTTGTGGTTCACCTGTGCTTCCTGAAATCACGCTCCACTGAAGCTTGCGAGGCACAACTGCCAAGCTACCGAGTCCTACCGTAGGCCTACCACAGATGTACGTACACGCGTTGGATTCCATGCATCATGAGAGAATGAACCAAAAAGCATTCAAAGACGGAGCGTCTTCTCATCAACATCCCTTCAATGTGGCCCTCCATACAGGGGGAACCTGCAGGTGGACATCAACAAGTAGATACAGCAACTAATGGCTTTTGACAAAGGACGTCTTTTTGGTTTGGCGATGCACAGGCACTGAGGTTCCCGCAAGTGTCATGGTGGTGGAGGGTGTTTGTGTTTGCTTGGCCTTGCTCAAGATGTTTTCCTCCAGGAGCAAACTAAAGATGGCCGCTGTTTCTGTCACATCTCAGGTCTTGATCCTCCGCCTGAAGCCAGAGACCTCTGAGGCAAGCCAGAGACCGCATTGACCGTGTTGGCGCTCGCTGTTGACAGATGAAATGATACTTGGTTCCAGTCCAACGTTTTGGAGTCCAAGAAAATCATAGTGATGCCATCGGTGTTATGCAATGAGGGTTTCGTGGTCTGGTTTGTATTTTGTTGCATGTTTGCGGGCTGCTCGCATTCAAAACACAAAGCTCTCAGGAATGCTCGAGCACTGCATATGTCCAATGAGTATTCAAGATTCAAGTCTTCGGCAGCTTCGGGAGTCTACTCCACCTTTTTTGCAGCCTTGCGGCGCCAGGATGCTTCTCCATCGGAGAACACATCGGAGGAGCTCATTTTGCCCGTTTGCTGGAAGAACTCCTTTGACAAAGATTTAGATCAAGACTGTGCAAGAACGGGAGGCGGCTAACGGTAATGTTTGTTCATATGCTTGAATCATGGTATGTTTAACATGGAAAAGTCCATGGTGGCACGCATCCTTGCTTTAGGAGGAATTCGTGATACAGTTTGCTCGCGTGGAGGCAGATCTTGGGGACGGTGTATCTTTCATGGTGTGAACAAGATGCCTAGTTTGTCAACGCAATTTGGCACTAGGATGATGCATTGTGTTGGTTTAGCAGGTTATAAGTAATTCCGTTCACGTTGAATTTGACACCTGGACTCGAGCAAATCAGGGGTATGGGAAGGTTCTCGTGGAAACTTGCACTAACCCCGGATGAATTGGTGGCAAGGTTTGTGTTAGTTGGAAATAGTTGGAAGAGCCAAAATAGTACCAAGCTGCACCCCCTGACCATTATGTGATAGAGCGAAGCCCAGTTATGCTCTCTTGGTGTTTCTTCCCTCTACGGCTGGTCAGTCACCTTATTGCACGGAATGGACAGACTCTGCTGCAAGGACCGCGACAACTGGGACCTTGGCTTGAGGTGTGGTCCTTGCGGTGGGCGGTCGGCGGAGCTCGTTGAAGCCAGGGACTAGGACGAACATGTTCTTTTCTCGTTTCTTTGTTTCTACTAATAGCAATGGCCTCCATAGCAATGGACTCCAACCTAATATCAAAGGCCTCCAACCTAATAGCAATGGCCTCCA